CTGACTATTTAAAAAGAAAGAATAAAAAATTTATGAATAGAATAAGAAATAATAAATAAGTATATAAAATATATTACATAGAGTAATTTAATTTTAGACTAAATTGTAAAAAATATTGTTGGAGTAGAAAATATGTAAGTATGTCTTCAGTCTTTAGTGTTTTTACTCGTTTTGTAATATTTAGTCTCAATCAATTGATAATAGTTTTATTTTATTTTACACAAATAAATTGTTTAATGCTTGAAAAAGCATGTTTAGATGCCATATAGAATACAAATTTCTAATAATAAATTATAATAAATAATAAAAAGTACAATGCAAGCTTAACACGAACTTGACGCGTTACGAAAAAAATTTATATACGAAACATATATGCATATTAATAACGCGATAGAAAATTATAGACTATGTTGGCTGTCATTTTGGCTGTTGCAAGATCAATGTACACTGTTCTCAGATATACTGTGCAATTAAAAGAGATAAATCGCGCACGTAATTCCAAAGAGCTATCGACGAAGCTCCTCCTTATTAAGTATGCAATGTATGTTCTTTCATATTCATTTTGCGTAAGATTTAACGTGCCTCCGCCGGATTCTGACAATTACGAGAGGCCTGTCTCTGGTTTGTGGTATTCGCCATAAATTCGAACTTTAAAGGAACACAGAAGAGAGAGAGTTTTGTTCTAACTCTCGGTATTTGTACATTCAATTAAATATTTTATTTAAATGTATCGTAAACCAGGCTGAAAAATGTTTTTGAACAGGGTTATATTTTCAAGAGTACTATTCAGGATTTTGTAACTAAGTCGCACAGTTTGAAAGAGAAGCTGTAGTTCTGTCTTATTCCCATTCGTAGGCATAAATATTGCAAAGGCTTAAAGGGCACGTTTTAAATAAAACCGACGAACGAATATATAATATATTTTCGGAGATATAAAGGATTTATAGAAAAGAAAGAAGGATAAAGAATAAACTTCTTTATTTAACATAAATAAAGAAATTTGTTCAACTTAACATAAATTTCCAGCATACAATAAATAATGAATTTATATTGTTGAAAAAAAGAAATAAAATAAAAAATATATGTATAATTTTGAAAAAATATACAAAAACGCAAATGAGAAAAAGAAAGTGATAAACAATATCGAAATGAATAAATAATATTTATCGAATAAGATCAAATTTTCTAAGAAATTGTCTAATTCTCTAAAAATAATACGATAATAATTTGAATAAAAACACAAAGTAATATTTGTCATGAGATATATGATAATTTTTATAAATTGCATATAAATGTAATAATGCTGCAATGATTCAATAGAATCAAAAGAAAGCATCGATGTCATTAAACAAAGGAAGCTCGAGATAACTTTCGCGCATAGGTAACAGTTTCTGTGCTACTATGCCATTAGGCAAGTGCACTTTACGTTTGAGTGCGCAATTTCCAGGATGAAACATTTACAGGACAAAACTATTATTATTCGAATAAAATCGTCGCTTAATTCGATGATATTAATCGAAGAAAATATAATAAATTTTTGAAAATTTACACGCTTTAAAAATTAAAAGCTCTTCTTGAGTTTTGTGAGAAAAATTACACTCTTCAAAAATTAAAAGTATTTCTCGATTAATATAAATTATAGTGTTAGACTTTGATATTTTTTCGTATTTTAATTTGTGTAAGTACCATATTCAATTGTTATCAATACTGCTTTAAAATTGATGCTGCTTTAAAATATGATAAAATCAATTACGTAGGAATAAATTTTAAATGTCATAAAATTTCATGAATTTTATATATTTGGGGAAGTTTCATCCTGATTCATTAAAAAGTCCCAGGTCCATCCAGTAACTTAATAATGAAATATTTACATTTAATAATAATATCACATAAATGCCAATCTGCAAATAGCAGTTATTTGTTAACATTGTCACCACTAAAACCGCATATTGATGTTTATTACATGATCATGCCACATATTGTTCATAAAGAATGTAAAAGGATATAACGCTCAATGTTCTGTTTTTCTTCTTTTCGTGTCAACAGATCGAAGTAGTCTACTCATTAATTCCGGTATATGCTCCATGTAGCTTCGATTTCTTTTTTTATTCACACAATTCCGATGACTGATGGCGAGATTCTTCCCTTGGAAGAAGTCTTCCACCTGCTTCCTTTTATAGGCAGCTTCCTTTTTTTGTCTCCTCTTTTTCTCACGAAAGTATACCGATGATGACACATTTGGGAATCCATACGACACATCGTGACACAATAGAAAGTTAAAGGCTAAGATCCGGAAGGAAGACGCCGATGACGACGAGTGACCCACATCCGGTGAATTAACTGTGAGAGAGTAGACGCATGCAGTCGCTTATATGAATCATTGAAGAAAATATCACCAATCGAGTAGAAACTCGGTGCTGGAGATGAGAGTCGAACCGTTCGATAACCAATACCGATTGAAAAGCGTAGAGAACGCACTTTAGAGCGTAATGAAGCCCGTGATTATTTAGTCTTCTGAATTCAATTGTTTGTTCAACAATGATTATTACATTCGACATATTACATTCCATTCAAATAATATATAATATTTATAAATATTTCAAATATTTATCGTATCATATTCTGTGTATAATATTATTACATTGTATTGTGGTGTTTACTCTCTCAAATATGTAAACACGGCAAAATTGTTTCATGCTGCAGAAAGACTGACGATTAATTATCTGACTATGGATCGACTTCCTCACTTATTCTTTTATTGTCAGAAATTACAATACATTTAATTCGTAATGTTAAATTATAATCAATTTGAATTATTTTTAATCATATCTGCAACTTTTATTTAATATGCCATTAATTTAAATAAAACAATTTAACTTTGGAAAATTTATTCTCTTTTAAATGCATACGGTAGACGATTTTTTATTTACTTTGAAACAAAATAATCATAGAAATAAATCGATTTATATTTTGATACACGTGAAAGTTAAAAATAACAAAATGTTATTTAGCTCAAAGAATTGGGTTACCATTACTTTTTGCAATCTAACAGTGTAACTGTGACTGAAAAATCCAATACGACGGCGGTCTGATGCGCTTTTTCTAACAGCTTGATAAATCTAATTTTAAGATTGAGAGAATTCATCTTTTCTTCTATTCTCTTAACTTTTAAAAATACGGAGCTATTATTGCATTTAATTCTTAAATTATATATTAGAATTATCGTATTTTATAATCTAAGACGTGCGTCTATTTTAATTAAATTTGAATTTTAGTTCTATTTTCCTATCCCTTCTATTTTTAATCTCACAAATAATTAACAAACTTTTAAATAAAATATGAATAAATGTTAACGAAACTTTCTCGCTCGATTGAGCTCGTTCTCTTATTTAGGTCGACGCGAATATGTCTGTCTTTTATCTTTCATGTTTTTATAAAAGATAAAAATTACGTCTTATCCCCCATTCAACATAGATTATTCCATCGACATTTCAAAGATCGCAGCGATGTTGCTAGCAGCTTCTGTACTACATGGACTACCTTTAACCATTACATTTTTAACAGTAAATTCTTTTGCATAGTTGCAAGAAAAAATTGAAAAGCGGCTGTATCGAAATAAAATCCGGGTCGTATCTTCTCCATCTCGATTGACGTCATAAAATGAAAGTCCAAAAGAATTTCGTTCATGATTTTTGGAATAGAGAACATTCCGCATTCGTTAACCACGTTTCGCAACACGTAGAAATCACGTCTCCGTCGGTCAACAACAGACTAATGATTAATCTGGCATAATCTGGATGCGATTGCTCCATGTAATTGCCATCACGTATCAAGAAGTGGCATGGCGTTACGGCCATACTCCACTATCGTTGCATTATTCATGTCTCTCGGCTACACCCTAAATTCGAGGACTTCCCAGAGGATGTAACCGCCGCAACGCACCGGTAATTTCACCGTCGAGCAGCCTTGCCAGCTATCGCCATATAAATCACGAAGTACGGTGCATTAAAGACGATCCCGTGAGGGGAGAGATAGACTTCTTTGCATTATAGAGTTTAGAATCGAAAATGACATTTAAAATATTTATCACATATTCATAAGTATAATTTTCAACGGCATTGATTATGCAAAGCATTCATTCCAAACAATATTAATCATCGCAATTCTTATTTTTTTAATCAGACATTCTAAAGTATTAAATCGATGACCTAAATGTTATTAGTTTATGCAAACTAATATTACCAATGTATGATAATGAGGTTACCATTAATGACAGTAATGAGTTTACATTCCTGTGCACAGTAATAGCAACGACATTATATTCAATATATCATCATTAGACAATATATTGACCTTAGGATTGTAATTACGCTGATGGTAGACAAGGGATGAGTTGCTATGATTCTTTTACTTTTATTTTTAATTATGAGTCGCCTCCGAGGAACATCTCGGAATGATTACGACGGGCGCGGCCTGGATAATCGCTGCGATGAAAAGAAATGATACGTCGCAACCAGGTTTGTACAACACATAAAAAGGAAAAGACGAGTAAAGGAAATGAAAAATGGTTGGACAATTCGTAGATCTAAAGTCGACTTCGGCTCATGAATAACGTAGAAGAGAGCGCATTAGAATATTCCCCGCGGCATAACGAATAAGGAGACATAACTTCCATTGTTATTCTTCAGGTTTTAAAGGGGAGAGCACTGACTTGCGTTGACTACGAAAAAGAAGGAAAAGTTCTACATCGGATAATGATATTTTTCGCGGAGATGATGCACTTGAAAGAAAAGTCAACGCGAAATCGTCATCTATTTATTATATAATAGTGCATTAAAGCGAAGGACAGAGTTCCAGTCTGTTCTCGTTTCGAGAGAAGGGAAAATGATTGTGTGGGAGTACAAGCGTGACTCCCACAGCACCGTAATTAGGATTCTTATTCGATTATCGCGTCGACTGGAGGTCGTATTTTAATCAAGACGCAATTGTTACTGTTCCAGGTAATAGCGGCCGGTTCAAAAATTACTTGATGCGCTGAGGATGCGCCGTGATTTCTGCAACGGTGGGCTTGCCTGCGCCGTTGTGTGGGTGTCAACTTGTCTGCTGCTTGTCCTTTCGCTGTCGACATCGACCATCGCCGGTACGTCCTCTATTATCTCTCTCTCTCTCTCTCTCTCTCTCTCTCTCTCTCTCTCTCTCTCTCTGTTTCCTTTTTTAGCGCTTTATTATTTACTCCTCGTTAATTAGACCCGTCTCTGTTCAAAATGCTCTCATATACATTCAAAACATAAAAACAGATAAAATAATTGCGAGAAAATATCTTTCAAAAGTGAATTGACATTTTCATCATAAATTTCGATTCTCACAACATGTCGCTTTAATCATTTTTTGTCGCATTCATAGTTATATCTATTTTTTTTAGCGATCAATTAATTTTTACAATAATATTTATGTATATATATATATA